CCACTACACCAGGTTGCTTAACGCCTCATCCTTCATGACCTATTAAACAATCACCCCTGCTCTCCCATGATATCAAGATATCGTCTCCGTTGCATACAGCTATTTAAGAGATTGAATATTTCCACACCTCCTCTCTGAAGGTACTAAGGACTTCTCTTGGGCACTAACTCACCCTATGGGATGAATCATTTGCTCTGAGAACAAAGCAACACCTGGGAAACTTACCTTATCACTGTCTAGCGTGTTCTGTGAGGTTCGTGAGGCAATTGAAATAGTATCAGGTTGGCTGCTACCATCTCCCTGGCTGTCCAGGTCCTCGCCGTCTCTGCAAATAATTCAGTTTTCATTACAATGTTAGCTCTGTGTGCGTAACATGTTAGTTCCCTACTTGCAACTCTAAAGAAGGGGCACCCAGACAGCAAAACTAACTGATGCAAAAATCAAACATTCAGCACTTAAGACTTTGTTCTACACTTTAAGACAACAAATTAGTTTGCTGAAGGTCCATATCTTGTAGAATTAAGGCAACAACCAACCAGCCAGATTTACGGCAAGAACGTTGCACAGGCAGTTAGCCAAAGCTAGCAAGCAGAACACTCTGTCACACGCTTTCAGCTCCATGAAAGGAAACCAAGGGCCTAACGCACGCAGAATTGTAAAAATCTAAAATGTACAGCTATCCTGTACTGCAGTTTCAAGTCCCTTCTGTAACGGCTGATTGTACACAAGTCAGGGACTGTTCAGAGCAGAAATCTCAAAAAATTCACACCATCGCAGGAAACTTGAAATTAATTATAAGTTAAAGCTGGTCAAAATTACTCTTGCTTTTGTTCAGTTCACTAAAAGTCATCAGAAATTCAACACTACAGAGGAAAGAGGGCTGCTGTGTACTTAGAGATCTCCGATTATTTTAAATACTACTTACCTTCTTCCTTTCTGTTTTGTTGTTGGTGCGGTTTTGGGGATGTGGATCGGCTCTTTCAATGCTCCTTTCAGATGAATGGTCCTTTCTTGTATCACTTCCCGGATGTGTTTGATCCAGTCCTGTTTATTCTCTATACTGGATGCCTTTGATATGCAAAAGAAACAAAACCCCCACAATGGACTATTATAGCTGAGAAGATCCACACATACAGTCAGCTAATAAACATGGAGAGGAAGGCATAAAGAATGACCTTGTGAATCACTTTTCAAAACTTGAACAGAAAAAAGGAAATTCAAGCTAGTTGTCTTCATTTTGAATCACCAACACCACTTTTTATTTCTCAACATTATTAATATTGTTCATAAAAAAAACGTTTTATTTTAGATTCAGATTCCTGTTTCATAACTTGATGGCTAAAGCCCTGTATGCATCTCATGCAAGACCAGGTGGACTGACTTACTGAAAGAATTCCAGTAATAACACCTTGAACATTAGTATTTTAAAGTCAAACTACATTTTAGGTCAATTCTAACTATAAATAATAATCTACTAACACTGAAAGAAAAATCAACTTATTTTGCAATATGTATTTCCACAACACATTTCATGTATTACTCTTCCCACTTTTGAAAAATACCTGGAAGCAGAAAGCTAATTTAGGGATTGTATTTTAATAACTGCCTGCAACATATCAGCTATACTTTTGAGATACCCTGGAAAAGACGTGTTTAATCCAATATAACACTGCATCTGAAATGCTATTAAATATAAACATTATTGCAGATCTAAAAAAATTATTATATATAGCTTCCTACCTCTCTTAATTGCTGTCACCTGAAATAATTGGCTTCAAATATATTACAAATATTTAATATACTATAATTTTTTAATAACCAGGGATCCTAAAGGGATAGAGAAAGCTGCAGGAACAGATGAACAGTTCAGAAAAAGAGCTTTGTTTTCTTTTACAAACAAAACCATTTAGGAAAATAAACCAAAGTTTTGTTAAATCTTTTATTTAGGTTTTCATGGAATTTACTTATAATACTAATGAGCTAAGGAAGTGCTAGTTTCCAACCTTCAAAAACAAACAAAAAAAAAATCAACAAAATTGTTGAAAAGCTTCATATACCATACAAGTTACCTAAATATCCTATGCTCCAAGTAAAGAAGAGAACAGGAACACCTTAAAATTATCTTACGTAGAGAGCCCTCAAATAGAACTCCTTATACTGCTCTACTCTGGGAGGAACATTTCAGGCTTCAAAGCACACTGCCTGTGAAATTATGAGTATTAAGACTGAATAAATTGTATTATTCAGTGATGTTGCATTTAATTTCCCTGCATTCATTGAATTCATCTGCTGTCACAAAACTAATGTGAGCAAAGAACACTACTGAGATCTGCAACTTCAACAGATACAAAATTTATAGGCATTGCATGCACTCTCATCCAAAGGCAAATATCTTCAGAAAAACTTGTAGCCCACAGAAGGACATAAAATCTTTTGAAGTGTTTCAATTTCTGCATATAAATATGGGCCCTGAAAAACAGCATCACTAGCAAGCAGCAGTGACTTCAGTGTGGAACACGACACTGATGCCATGATTTGTCTGTGGCATATCAGTTCCTCTGTCAGTTAGTGACTGAAGTCTTCAAGCTACAGAAGCCCATGGGATCAAACCTTTTCCTAGTCTGATTTGTGAATGCGAGTTTGCTTAATCTTTCAGTAGACCACAGAGATTCCTCGCTGCTGTCAAGTCACGCGAGTTAGATACACACCATATCCTTTACACACAAAGGAAAATTATGTCACCAGCTGCCCCTCTCAAAGCAGGAAAAGTCATCACTTGTTGCCTTCCCGACAGTATGAACAACAACTGCAAGACTTAGTATAGACTGTACAAGCACATCTACTAAAATTACCTTGAGAACAATTTTGTTGTCTGAAGTTGGTGTCCTTCCAACCCACAGAGCAAACTTACAGGGATCTCCTTCTACGTGTTCTGTGACACCCAGCTCAGAAGTCTGGAATAAAGAAAAATTTGTTAGGACGATCCAGCATTTTTTTTCTCAGAAGCCACAAAGAGATACTAATATTCTAAATAATTGTGCTCTGCTATTTAAAGAGATTTTTAGAAGCACATATGCTAGAGAGAATCATTTATTCTGGTGGTAATGATGGAGTTTCTTCAAAATGCAAGAACTGTGAGCTAAACAGTTCTTCCTATAAAGTAACAATAAACAATAGCATTTATAATTTGAAATACCAAATTGCTTATTTCATATTTTTGACTTGACAATAAAAGCCTTATAACTCTAAAAAAGGTGCTGTGTGAAAAATAAGTGTTGGCTTTTCTCCTTGTTGATTTCCATCAGAGAATACTCACTACTTAATGATTTTTATGTTTTCTCTCAGATAAGATATGCTTAAGAATTCTCTTGATATCTTCTAAAACTCTGATCTCTTTTCTGCCAAAGGAGCCTTTCCTAGTGTGTTTCTTTCCCTCTGAAACAGATGAAATAATTCAGAAATGTAGTTTCCCTGGAGAATTCTGTGGGACAACTACATTAACAATCAATCTTTGGGAATGTTCTAATAGCTAATTATCATCCAAAATGTTTTCACTTTCCAACTGGAACAACATCTCAATCATGTGAATTGGCTTCCAGTTAAACAATTCATATAGGCTTTGCTCCAAAAAAAAATTACAAACTAAGAAGTTACAGCTCAAACTACAAGAACCCTCACCCCAAAAGACAGCTGCTACATTCTTACATTATTAGAAGCTGTATTTTTCCCCTCATCACTAGCACATACACAGTTCATCACAGAAGATGTTGGATACACAGTACTTGAGTAAAGGTAATTGTACTTCAGTAAAGGTAATTTTTTTTTCTTGTCTCATTTGGATGCCAACTTGTTTTGTTGTTTGGTTTTGCTGTTGTTTTTTTGGTTTTGGTTTTTTTTCCTAAAAAAAACCCTGCCTCTCAATCCAACACATCCACCCTTTCAGCTTTGTTGTCTCTTTTTGGTAAAATGGATTCCTCTGCACTGAAATACTTAAAAGCTTGTGATGTGTTTTAAACTTGACTCACCAACAACTCCTATGTGTGTTAAAAAGCTTGTAAAATACTTAATCCAACATTACAGTATGTAATTCAAAGAAAATACACCCTACTGCACTGCCCAATATAGAGCCTGAACGGGCAAGATAGTACAAATTTTAACACTTTATTTTTTGAAGCCTAGTAAATTTGAAAGCCTTGGTACACTTGCGAATACTGTTAATTTTCCAAGGGAGAACTGAGGGACAACGCGGCAGAGGTCCGTACCGTGCGGCAAAGCCGACATAACGTTGTTCGCGGTCCCTTTCAATACTGGTGGGCATCAAGTGAAGCCTGTGGGAGGGAGTCAGGTTCAAACCCCCACACGGGGAGGTTGGCCTCTGCCCAATATGTAGCTGAGCAATACAACTCTTTGCCAAAGAACACTAAATGCTAAAAGTCTGCATGAGGTTCAAGGACAAGCTCACAGAGGAGAAATCCGTTATTGAATGCTCAGAAACCACATTCAGGTGAGGGAATCCCTGCACTGTGAGTTACTGGTGACTGGGAGAGCATTCTGGCAAAGGAACACCTGCTTGCCTGGTTCCCATCGCCCTCCTTAGGCATTTGCTTTTGGACACTTTATCTCTTGCCAAAGGAGTTCATTAACACATTCTTCCACTAATACAAGTCATGCCATTGAGTATCCTGTGCTGGGGAAAACATGATGGTCATCATGCCCAAAGTAAAGAGAAGGACCTCACTTCTGTAAAACCACCTTCCAGAGGCAGGAGACATGACAAAGTGAAAAAAAGATCTTTAGCTCAAATCAACATGCATGCTTTCAACATCTGTATGAATTCTAAAGATCAAAGTTATAAGAATCGCTATAATAGTAAGCTGCATGACAGGATATTTTGCCAATAGAACATGAAGATAAAAGTTATGCTTGCATTTTAAAAATGAGGCAAGACAGGATGTTTTGCCAATAGAACATGAAGATAAAAAGTTATGCTTGCATTTTAAAAATGAGGCACAATGACAGTATTCAAGATTTCTGGAAATTTCTCTAGGACCCACGGCTATTACTAAATTCCTGCCAGAGGAACTGAAATTACAAGCTTACAGGACCAATTTTTCAGCTCTGACTCCCCTCCCATGTAATGCTTTGGCAGCTGATGTTACCCTCCAGTACTTGAGAGCACCAAAGAATGGTGCGGTCAACAAAACAGCTGCAGCTGTGTTACCTCCTAGCCACCTTCTATCAGGAAGGAGAACAAGTGTTGGAAATGAAGTGGCAGAATATGGAAAGTAAGATAGAGGGGAAAAAAAGAGAGTTTTTGAACGAACCTGCTTTACCAGTTTGGACACAGAGGTGGGAAGGGGGAAAGAACGAAGGAAAAGGAGCTGAAGCAGGGAGAAAAGGTTCATTATTTGTACCATCTAGACTTAGTCATATACCCCTATAGGATCAATGGAAGAATCATGTCTCTCAAAGTGTGATTCTGAGAAGTAATTTCAAGAACTTGTTCTAAACTGTCTAGTAGAAAAGCTAATCTTTCCTCTGGTAGATGCAGAGCAAGCTGTGGGAAACTGTCTTCTCATTTGGCTACCTAAATTTACAGAGTGTGAATACTGCTCTCACCCAAGTCATCCAATGAGACAAGAAGGGAAGGGCATGAATTCCAAGGTTGCATTTTGTAAAGTATACACGCTATGGATGAGGAAAAAGCAGATTTTTTAAAATGGGGAGAAAAAGATTTCCATCTTTAGATCCTTTCAGTAGACCATAAGAGCTATAATTTCATTTACAAAATATTATTGTAAGACTACTAGTCTCAGTAGACATTCTGGAATGAACTTTTCCATAACAGGGAGTTCTTGCCTTTCCAGATCAGTATGTGTAGAATATCCACCAAAAGGAATACTTAACATGGATATTACTACAACAGCAATAGTAAACAAGCAAGATGAAGGCAGCTCGTCAACTCCTTCCATCCTTCTGCTTTACACAAATGAGCCTTAAAGAACCAGCAATCACACACACAACAAAATCATAGAATCATAGAATGGCATAGGCTGGAAGGGACCTCAGAGATCATCTAATCCAACCTCCCTGTCATGGGCAGAGATGCCTCTCAACTAGACCAGGCTACTCAAGGCTCCGTCCAACCTGGCCTTGAACACCTCCAGGGAGGGGGCATCCACAACTTCTCTGGGCAATTTATTCCAAAGTCTTACCACCCTCATACTGAAGAATTTCTTCCTAAGATCTAATCTAAATCTGTTCTCCTTCAACTGAAACCCATTTCCCCTTGTTCTATCAAGTGGACACTCTTGTAAAAAGTCCCTCCCCAGCTTTCCTGTAGGTTCCCTTCAGGTACTGGAAGGCAGCTATTAGGTCCCCCCAAAGTTTTCTCTTTTCAAGGCTGAACAATCCCAGCTCCTGCAACCTGTCCTCATAGTAGAGGTGCAAATCAGTCCAGCTCAATCTTGATTTTCCTTTGTCCCGACACACCAAGATTCACATGTAGCCTTCAGTAGCTGCTTTCAGCCTACTCTTTGTCCTCAAAAGCATGACAAAGCAGCAAACTTACAAGATTCAGTCTACACATTCCAAGGCTGTTCTTTCAGTGCACTTTAATAATTTGTTAAAGTTCTTCAGGCACATTTAAATCATCTGAGCTTATTCACAATCTAATCTAGACAGTTTTCTAAATACGATCACTTGTTCTTCCATACTTACGAACAGTTTACTCTTGTAAATGTACTTGCTCCTTCCACTGGAGTCCTTTACTTCTTTACTGAAAACCAAGGACATCTCAAAAAGGAAAAGGTGCCTCTCTCTTCCCTTTCGAATTAGAGTTTTAGGGTCCCACACTTGGAAGGATTCTTGAAGGATGAGCTCTCCCTGAGATTCTATATTTTCATCAAAGCCTAAAAATACAGGGAGAGGAAGAGTTGACCATGAATGGTTGAAAATATGAGGAAACTAAAAAGCACAGCTTCTGTTTATTAAGCTACCTGATTTTTTTTTCCAAAATATAGCTAGCAAAGATGGGATTCCGAGGAAGCAATACTAAAAACAAGACTTGATTTCAACATTGCAATATACTAAACGTAACTGTAGCTCAAGTCTATGTCTAAATTTAGAGATTCAACTATTACGAAGTTTATCAACTCTTATGGAAATATTTCACCAATAAATGACAGATCTCTCTGTGTCAGCTTCCAGTAACCTCTACCATGATGAAAATGAATTCTCTTATAAGCTTTCTGTCACTTGCAGAGCAACTTGCAAGGACACAGACAGCATATCAAGTTGTAATGACATTGGCAAGCTCCCAAATGCCACCTTTTCTGGTGGTACACCTTCCCTAGCATGTATGCAATGAGCACACAAACATGTTCCAATAAGGGACGAGAAAAAGATAACAGTCTTTTGGAGCTGTTGCCATGTGATCAGCCTGCCACTGAGTCACTCCAACACTGATTCACAATAAAGAAATAGCAGCAGGATTACTTATCTTGAGACATAACATAAAGATGAAGATTGAGAATATCAACAATTTTACTTTTGTTGTAGTGGTACAGCGTTCTCTCAGTTTAATACACAGCTTCAGAGTTGCAGGATAACAGAAATTAGACTACTATACTCTTCTGAGTGGTATTAAACTGCATTTTGAATAAATACTGCTTGCCAACATTCTCCGAACAGAAGAGCACCATCCTTCTCAAGAAAACAACAGTTCTCACTGTTCCAAACAGGGCAACAGTATGGAGAGCATCAGAGGCAAGTTGCATCAGGATGTTCATTCAAAATCCTCCAGAGACATAAAGAGGAAATGTGCTCACTCACTATATTCATCTAACATGGGATGACTCAATGATACACACGATTTGTTATAAAACCAACTTATGTAAAAGATTAGGATATTCTCCAGAGTCACAATAACAGCGTTAAAAGATTATTACCAGTGCTGGCCAGCATTTATACTAGCACCATCTCCTGAACAAAGTATTTGGAACTGATCCTGCAAACTGAACGACATTCCTATTGTTTAAAATCAGGTAAGAAAGGTGATTTTGAGCATTCACGTGATCGAGGATCACACGTCAAACCAAGACGAGTTTTATAGTAACTTGCACTATACTGGAAATTCCATGCCAAGCTTCATTTTACTACTAGAAGGCAGAGAAGAGGAAAAGGAATATTGACTAAAACCACCTATGAGTCTTCACTGAGCAACTGCAAGGTAAGGTGGCTCTGCTTTTATCTCAAAAAATTTAAATGACAAAGATAAACAGTTCTATTAGTAAACATATGATGGCACCATCTCACACAGTAACATGCCAATTACAAAACAGATTTTGGCAGAAAGTTGTTCTAAGCACATAGAAGCAATTATATCCAACCTCCACTGTGTGCCATGAACACGATTATGCTGTTCTGGCTAAGGCTCAGGCTAAATTGGCTTATGCTGACGTTTTACAGCCAGAAGATACATTTCATTTCAACCAGAAGTCTGTTATGGAACAGGCAGCAAACAGATGTGAAAAGGACAAACTTCTTGGAGACAATTATTTGAAACATAAATCAGCAAAATCACCTCATACACTTATGCTCCTCATATAAAGAAGCCAAGGATACTGGTTGGAAAATGCAGCCAAAGCTATTGTGTCTGACCATTCACCTATCGCATTTGAGAAGAGTAGTGGAAAGCATTGTTAACCTAGATATTTTCCAAATCTGCATTGGCAGAGTTATAGGTCAGGATGAAAGAACGTTTAAAAAATTAGCAAAACAGTACCAGTTGTCTGTCACAATTAATTTGCCTAAGTAAGTTTGCATTTTATATATCTCCAAATAAAAAGGTATATAAAATACAAACCCAGAGATAAGAAAACGTTCACATTTTTTGGATCTTCTCAACATATATTAATATAAAAAGTTATTAAACAAAGTTAATTTATAGCATACGACTGAACTGGAATACCAGTTTGAATCCTACCTTCCAGCATGCTGAGGTGCATGGCGTCATTAGCTCGCTTTGGCACACTAAGCATCACCTCCAGGCCATCCTTAATCTCACCTTTACCTTCTTCACAGCACGTGAGCAGCTCCTGCAAAAGATAAGCAGACATGAGTACTCTCTATCACGTTTTTCTACACTAATACGACAGACAAGCAAATATTCCCTCTAATAAGCAAAGAATTGTTTCTGGCATGCACCGTCTTTTTGAACAACTCACTCTGCCAGTGTCATGACAGCATACTTTGTATTTATCATGATCTGTTCTTCAAGGAGCAGCCCAAGCTTTCAGTTAACTAGCTCTAACTCAAACTAGATCATCTGCTTAAGAAGAACTCTTTCAAAGTTACGGGAAGGACAATGTCTTTTTCTGATAAGCACAGGCACAGCTGCCAGATGCACTGCTACATCAAGGCCCAGGATAACGCAGCTGCCAAGTCCTGAAGATGATGGTGGAAAGCAGGTCAGCACAAAAGGACACCCCCACCCCTCCAAGTCAATCTTTGCTCCACTGCACCGAAGACCTGCTCTGTACTACTGCTGATAAGAGGATTTACATTGTTTCTTTTCAAGTATTCAGTGAATTGCTCCATCGGTGTTCACACAATTAAAAGCATCCTACAGATAAAACTTTAGAATGCAAACAAGAATTAACTGATGGACAGAAGTTAGAGAATGGAATATGCTGAAACTTTGTAGTGGAACTTAGGGTGCAGTTCCCAGCCCATTCAACACCCCACAGATATTAAGATGACAGTGCCTGAGCTGGGATTCAAATTTCCTCACATCCTTTGAGCATTTGAACAGTATCAAGATAAAGTGTAGCTTACGTAACCAAAAGGACATATTGTGTTCCTTTTATTATTCAAAAAGTTTGCTTAATTCATTCCCTCAGGTTAAATTCCCTTTTACTTTGTAAAGAGAAAGCCAGGTAATTCCTACTATTATCACCATTATACTTATCACCATTATACTACTTTTATTTAACTGCCAATACCACCATCAGGGCAAAACACTACAACACACAAATTTGGCATGACAACTCCACAGAAAAGTGAGTAACTAAGTATCTTCCAGGAGACACAATGGACAAGCAGTTTCAATACCATTTGGAAAAATAAGCAGAACTTCTAGAACTGTAAAATGTTTCAGCTATCATTCCAGTTTTAAGATCTCCTCCTTCCATGTTTTATGCCACTCTTCTTGCGGGGGCGGGGTGGCCGGAAGAGTGAAAAAGAAAACCCAGCAATCATCAAATAAATCCATTTTACTGTGCAGCTAAGCCATCTGGCTCTGCAAACACTGGTGAAACAGATCTATCCCATCACTTCAATAATGCACTGGCTAAGGCATATTTAGGTTTAATTATTGTTGGACTCAATATCCCAAAATTTCAGCATAGCCTAGAGTATTTCTGCCATCTGTAACTTAATGAAATTGCACCTTTTTGCAATGTTTACATTTTGTAAATGTACGTGTACATTTTATTGCAAAACAATATGTTTCAGTTTAAAATGACAGACTTGTTTCCATCCAACTTGACCTGAAATAGCCTTCCATGTTTTTCAGAAATTTCAAAATCAATCATCCCTGGCAGTTGTCAAGTAGAAAGGGGAGATGCGGGTCAGTTACTGTGCTCTTGTAGGCACTATTACAAAACGAGCAATGCCACCTAACAGAGACCTGGCAGAGTTGAAGAACACTGCTGCTCAGTCAACAAGACATCTGTCCACTGAGTGAAAGCTCTCACTACAGCTTTCCAAAAGTTTTGTTTATTTTAACAGCTACTATTTACTTGGCATTTCCAGGCAACATAAGTAACGACTGTGTACAACAGCCCTACAGGTACTCAGTGTGCATATATATACCCACATATGTATCTTATATAATAATTTTATGTATATATGTATATGTGTAAAAACGTATATATTCTACAGTATTTAGTATCATAAACATTGCTAACGGCTTGCCAAAATTTGTTGCAGAAACCGTTACAAAAACGCGCCTGTCTATATGGCCATGAATTACTCTTTTACTCTGGAAATGCAAACTGTATTTCCTAAGTAAACATTAGTAGAGAGGTATCTTTTCTGATTTACAGGAATCTGGACAAAAAGTTGCTTATTTATGCCTTCTTTCATTTTCAGTGGTCTCCTAAAAAACATCGCAGCAATATTTGAAACTGCCCAGGATGCTGTAGTGTCAGAGTGCAGAGTAAAAAAGCCCTCCTGATTTCAGCAAGAACTTTGTCTTCTTAAGAACAGCAGAATCAGATTAAGAACTTGGAGTTAATACTGACCTTTAAAAGAAGCTGGTATTTTGTTATCCTTTGGACAGGTTTGATAAGGTATGAGGAGATGGAGTTGGCCAGTCCATGTCGTTGTTGTATCTCCTACATGAAAGCAAACATTTGAGGACTGTGAGCACCGACACGCAGATATAGACTGCTTTGAGGGCTATGCAATAACATACATTAGCTAAAAATTCTATTTTAGCAAGAAGAAATAAAAAACCACAGGATGACAAGATATTCCAGCCATAGCAAACGGTTATGTTGTGCATCTGCCTGCTCACTTTGTACAAACAAAAAGTTACGACTTCCAAGGGTACCTGTGAAGCACTTCAATAAACCTAAATAAACAGCAACAATTAGGGATATTGAACATGTGGCAACACCATTTTTTAAAAAATTAAAATCTGTATTTCTTTTGTTACTTGCAAGAGAGAAAAGAAAACAAACTTCAGTGTTCTGGGGAACAGCCAGGACTATCACACGAAGGCTGAGGTGGAGGTTTCTTAGCATCACCCACCAGTTTAACTGTTGATAGTTGCAGAAAGCCCTTTTCCCCACGAGGTGGAGCACGAAGTAACACTTTAACTAAAGGAAGGAGGTGACAGAACACTTACAAACAAAAAAACCCCCAAACCTCCACAAAGCTAAAGGAGGAAAACAGAATTACATTATAATTAGATGGGGTAATTATAGACTTCAAGTGCTGATCATGGTTGAACTTCACGGCCAGTGTTTGCCATTTATCACAGTATCGGATATGTTTTAACCACACAATTTCAAACAGCAAATTATACACTGCAGCTATGTGCCTTCTAACCAGGATTACAGTACCAGAAACTCCCAAGATGAGATACACATGACATTTTCACACGGTCCAGTGGTGGACAATGGAAACTCTTGAAGTTACCTGTGCACAGAATTAGGTCTTCACACTTCTAATCCACTTTAGGTGCATTAGGGGATGGAGAGCTCTGGACACGTCAGTTAAGACAGAAGGATCAAAGGAGACAGTGGCAAGAACGTATTTCTGATATAGTTTTATCAGAGCCCTTTTTTATTTTTTAAAATAGTATTTACTAAATTTTATTAGAATTTTCTTTTCATATCTCCCTGATTTCCTGTAACTTATTAGCTCTTCTCCAAGCACTGAAAACTTAACAGAGGCTTCATAGAAGGGCTTTTACCTTACAATGTTTAGAATCCCCATCTCCTGAGTGTCAGACTTTTGAAATAAACCCCAAGAACTCTAGGGACTTTTTGTTTCGTTGGTTTTTATTATGTCCTTCCCTCCATTTCTACAAAAAAATCTAAAAAAAATTGTGGTGTCACTACACAACTAATGGCTCAGCACAGTGGAGAAGGAAACAAAAAGGGGTAGAGAGCACTTTAACGGAATCATCTGTAAATACACGTGCAACCCAAACTCATTCAGTGTGGCCAAAATTCCTCCCTAAAACCTCTACCAGGTGCTACATTTTGGTCCTTTCTTAAACAGTATATTACATGTAGATCAAGTAACCTTGGCACTAAATAAGCAAGGTGGTTGGTTTAGCAGCTCTCAACAATGGCATTCAACTGAATTGCCAACTACATACAATTTAAAGGTGCTCCAAAAATTTAAGAGATTTCCATCTTTATTACATACAACGCAAGCTAAGGACATCAAAATGCTAAAACTTGCAGAATGTGCTTGCGAAAGCTGAAATTCATGTCTCAGTTGCTGCTGCCAGAACCTGCTTCCAGTTCTGAACTGCTCTGATATGTGATTGAATTTTTACATTTGATTTGACAGCTTTATGAGACCAACTGAACAATATAAGCTAACTAAGTGAGATATAGGATAGATTTTCTTAAGCTGACACTAAATTGCAGCTTTAGTACCAGGCAACTTGCATTTTCTTAAGAAATTAGGCACTCAGCATAACTGCAAGTACATGATTCAAACTGCCAAGGCATACCTTTAAGATGGACACAAAGTACTTACATCAAAGTATGCTCCTGCATGTTCTAATATCAGCTGGGTAGAATCTGGCTTATTTTTACAGTAAGTAACGTACATTTGGAATTTGTCTGCCTGCAGAACAAAATGCAAATTTACAGAGGTTATCAAAGAGCATCGTTCTTGTCTCCAAGTTTTTACACAGTTATCAGAGAACGTATCTTCTCTCTCAAGAAATTGAACTATACAGAATTATTTTCCCATTCCAACTAGCAGGATAAGAAAATACATCAGGCAAGTAAGAATGAAAACAACAGCAATGTATGCAAAAGTAGATTATTCATAGCTAAGACACAGATATCAAACCAAACCCGAACTCAGGTTTAGGCAACTTGCATAAACCTCAAGAGCAGCTAAGGACTGACATCTGACAGCAGTGCTTTAATTTTTTTTTCCTCAGTTAAAGATATACACATTTTTACTCAAATTTGAATGAAGAGGTACATCTACAAATTTTACAAATTAAAAAGGGACCTGAGAGCAAGAATCCATCCCTTCATGCTTCTCATCTCCCTTGTTACTTCTAAACATAAGTCTGACTTCATTACCCAAGTAACGAAGCAGTGTCCAACATCTTCTGGTAATTGTTCATATTTTTCCAGCTCCTTGAGGAATATACTACGGGTAGAAAAGAAACAAATAGTACAAGGCACATGAAACATTTTCATTAGAGCTGATATTGATCTATCGTCTGTGAATAAAGGCAGTTAGAAAACTTGCTGTGAATCATACCAACAGCATGAGTTAAAGAAATAAAGATAACATGAATGAATAAAAATATGTAATAACGGAATTAATATAAAAGGTTTCCTACTGTTTCAGTTTCAAGAAAAGTTTAGCCTTCATCTCAAGACAAACAGGAGGTGACTTCAGTTTCAGATGCTCAAGTTAACACAAAGCATACAAAGGACTGTAAAATCAGGTTCTGGAATACGCTAGGTATATTTTATTAGTTAAAAGAATCATAACCCAATACAAACATCAATGAATTAACAAAGAAGGATGATTCAGAGCAAGACTTCTGTACACTGATCCGCCTAGTAACAACTCCACTCAGAAGAAAGGTAGTGGACAACCCTCTTTCATGCTCCATACTCAAGTAAATGGAACAATGGCGGGGCATCTTCACAGAAGCTTCAAAGAGCCAAGAAAAAGTGGGGAGCTCTACTCTTCCAAGCATGACTGCTAGTGGGAAAATCAGGAATGAGGGTTCTGAAGGAACGACAGTGTCTTAAATTGATGTTTGTGCTACATCTGTATTGAGTTCAGTGATTTTCATCTCTTTAGAACAACTGAGAAACCTACAGCAAAATTTTAATGTATGCAAATAATTTCTTAAAAGCTAAAAGATGCCTGAGACTGAAAAATACGGTTTCTAATGGTGTACCTACCTGGCTACAAAATGCAACAACTGAAACAATTTAGCAATGTGAAAAGAAATCCTTTAGCTTTTTTATGGAAAAGCATCCATTTTTCATACGCACAATATTTTCATTAGGAAATCCCTCAGGACATCATTTGGATTTAGCAGTAATATGGAAATGGAAGATAAGTCACTCACTTATTGTGGAACTCATAGATTTCCTGCATGTTTCCAAAGATAATGTGTTCTTTGTTTACAATACCAGGTGGGATCTCCTCAACTCCGCTTGTCATTTCCCATAGATATGTCTGCCCAGAACAAAAAAGATGCATGAAAAGTCATGATGAACTCTAAACAGAAGCACCCAGGTATCTGTAAGCATGCATTCCTGGAAAGAAATCGTGGAAGGATCAGGCTGCGGCATCATCTCCAATTGTGACAGTACCTGTTGTGTCAAATATACCTTGTGATTTTGACAGCAAAACCCAAGTTCTAAAACTGACAAGTTAACATAGTCCCTGAGACTTCATCATTTAAAATGCCCAGTGTTCTTGACAACCTCTAATGCTTCAGGATATTCCTTATCAAGGTCATGTCTGCAGTCTAGAAATCCATGCTTTATGCAACAGCTAACGGTGAACGTTACTTGCTTCAGCATAACAATTACTGGGCGCTTTTCCATGGAATCTCTCTGAATTTCTGTTCAAAAAGTCAGCTAGCAGCAGAACACGTGATATAGATAATAAGAGAATTAAGCAAGCTCTTCTCTATTGCTAGCAAAGCAAATAAATTAAACCCCTCCTTTTTCCCCTCCCCTCTCCAAAAGAAAAAAACCCACACGTTTATGAATTGGGAAAGGAACAAATGCTGAAACTCAGTACTGACAAAAGCAAAACACAGGGCAAATTCCAAAGTGGCTGTTATCAGATGCAATTCTAAGTTTCTTCTTAACAGCCAGATACTTAATTTGGTCCTATGACTGCATACCAATCACGCTTGGCTGATAAAACCAGAAAGAAACAGAAAGCAACGGATTGAATCCTGTCTTCAAAGATTAGTGGAAAAAAGAAAACTTACATCCATGCACTCCCGGAGGTCTCTTACGTAAGCCTTTTCTGTCTGAATTAGCTCAGCCATAATGAACCTTAGGTGACAACAGAAAGAATAATCAAATCTCAGTCTGTTACATCATTATGAATGCCTAATAACCAGAATACATCTTTCTCCTCATCAGCTTTTGCTTTTTCCACTGCTGCAAGAAAAATCTGAGAACTGAAACGTGAAGAGAGACAACAGATGGAGGAAACAGAAGAGGTAACATCCCTCCATTACTAACCGGAGCAAAAAAGAAATGGGGAAGGGGATGGAATTTTTTCTCAAATGTTTTTGACTTGCTACAGTCATTTAACTGTTGTTCTCCCTCCTCCCCTTATATATTTATTTCACATTATTTCTAAAAGGATAAAAAGCATGTTAAAAAGATTTCTAACATAGTTTTGAAAGTTTAACTTCTGACATGTTAGAATTATCTGTGAGAACAAACGTGAATAAAACACAATAGGAGCATTTTAATATCGCTCTCTTTTTACCATTTAACTGATTTCTAAGCTGCCAGACAAGCCCTGACAGTTGTTTCATTATCAGGATTGATTTATGCATTCTCATTGATTAAAAATAAATAAATTTATTACTCTTTCCTGCGGGCAGACTTTCTTTTCTCTTCGTTAAGCTCATGAGCAGCATCACGCAGTTTCACCTCTGACCCAGGGACACTGGCTGGGATTATATCCAGCTGCAAGCTTTTGCTCTTTATTAAAGAAAGGAAGAATTGATTAAGGAAGGAGACAAGAGAAAACGATAGCTAAATCAAATGCAAGCAAAGCTTGTTCGTCTGTCATCACGCTCAAATTTCTCTTACCGATTTATTGGAATCAGAGGAAATACCCAGAGCTTTCTCTAAAGAGGTCCTGTATTTCTCCATGCGCAGGGAAAAGTCTCTGTACCTCTTATCCACTGCTGTGACACATTTTTTAATCTCTGTTGCATGAGCATGCCCTTTTTCACAAAAGCCATCAGCCAGCTGTATCAACAACTTCACCCTCTCTTTGGTTTGCTATAAAAACAGGAAAACATCGAACAGTTACTAGCTCTACCTGTCATGAAGGAGGTCATTTTGCTTAATCTGCTACTAAGCGCAGTTGGAGAAGCCATCAAAGGAGTCAGCTTCCTCCTCTCTCTTCCCAGAACTCCTTTAAACAGATAACTTTTTCTTAATAAAAATAGCACAAGATGAATATAGGTTTCCTTGGGGTTTATTATTACACGACTAGAAACAGGTTGTTTATTTTTCTTTCAAAAATATGCTCCATATCTAATCCAGAGATTAAATTCTGCTAAACCAGCTTTTCAGAGCATGGCTATTCTCCTCACCTCAATACAAAGAGGGTTTGACGCCAAAGAGGAAGGATATTTTGCACATTATCACTGGAGCACTTGTATTGGAC